TTAATTAATTTATTTTTTCAATTATTATTATTTTTTTATTTTTTTTTATTGCTTTTCACTTCCATCCTTTGGAAATCTATAAAAACTGCAATAATGACTCTCAGAATGATGGTTACAATCGGGTACAAAACACGACACGCAGTTAATGTTACCAGAGCATATGATTGTGTAGAACCAGTGGGCTCGTTGTCATGCCACCGTGACGTCATCACTTCGGAGCTCTATTGCACAGCTGGACTTTCCAATCTGATTTATAGGCCAAGCTTTTAACTTAATGTGATAAATGAGTAACAAATGAATGCAGGGGTTGCAAGCACACTGGATGATTTAAAATGGCATGTACATGTTCTCGCAGCAAAATGCATATATATCAGAAGTAGATAATAGAGAAGGAGTGTGACTTCAATAAACAAGCGAAATTCGTCATTTGCTAGCCTTAGAATACCTACGATTTACTACGCGTAACTCAATCAACTTGAGCTGAAATCGTACACAGTACATTCGCCCCAGCATCGTGCTAAATCGTTTCCTCGTATACACGCAATCCGGAGATACAGACTAAAACGTACGGCACGATTATCCATTCTGTTGCCAGCAAACCGAATGTATAAACCGCCTAACTTGAAACAAAAGGCAGCTACTAGCGAACCACACCGCATCACCGAGGGAGCAAGAGTGCGCAAGAGTCGTTAGTAGCTGCCTTTTGTTTCAAGTTAGGCGGTTTATACATTCGGTTTGCTGGCAACAGTATGGATAATCGTGTCGTACGTTTTAGTCTGTATCTCCGGATTGCGGGTGTATACGAGGAAACGATTTCGCACAATGCTAGGCGAATGTACTGTGTACGATTTGAGCTCGAGTTTACGCGTAGTAAATCGTAGGTATTCTAAGGCTAGTAAATGACGAATTTCCCTTGTTTATTGAAGTCACACTCCTTCCCTATTATCTACTTCTGATATATATATATCTACACTGTGAGCTCGTCTATGTTGCAAAAATTCACTAGAACTCATTTGTATTGCTACTTTCATAACATTTCTTCAGCAAACCTAAACAGTCTTACAAAACTAGTACTTTTAATGTTTACACAGAGTTTACACGTCCGGGACATAGCCGAGAGATCGCAGTTTTCATTAACAGTTCTTTTCTATGACAGAACAAGTTATAATTCATTATTCGATGTTTGTTCACTACAAAATTGTGAAATTTGTTTAAATTTAATTAAATGTGGGGGTGTAGTAGTAGTACCCTGTGCCGGTTCACATCGAACAGAATAGCAAGTAATAGGAAGTGTAATGCAGCAATTTAACCATAAAAAGTGAACAGAATCACTTACATTTTGTGGAAATAATGGTCTTACAAAAGTGGAAATAATTTTTTTACTTTTACCATTCATGGTGACGTAACCACTTTAATGACATGAAGAATAAATAATGACACTAGATATAGACATTTTTGGCTAGTATAGACTTTGCTAGTGTACAGGCAGGGGTGTTAGTATGTGCTTGTTGTGGGTGAGTATAGCTTAAGGGGTCGTTGTCGTATCAGGTACTTCAGATATATACCCGAGGTACATATATGAATACACAAATTGTACCAGACTTGTACTACAGAAGTGTACCCTAACCCTAACACTAACCCTAACCCTAACCATAATCCTAA